ATGAAGTCAGTGCCTGGCCTTCCTTGTTGGATTCCAGCAACAACATCCATCAAATCTAAAGTTCCACTTTCCTCCGATGCCCATCCCACCCCCGTCCCCTTCCCCAGTGATTCTGCGAGTGCTGTGTTTTAATATTGAAATTTGGCAACCCTTTCCAAACCAACCATCAGAATAATGAAGCAGAAGATCTTTATCTGTGTCTGACACTTGGATGATGTGGGAAATGCTGAGTGCTTCTATTTATTGAGCACTTATTATTCTGCAGGAGTCCCTGGGTGCTGCAAACAGTTAATATGCTCGGCTGCTAACCAAAAAGTTGACTTGTCAAGTCCAGTCACAAGTGCCTCGGAAGGAAGGCCTGGGGATCTACTTCTGAAAAAATTAGCCATTGAAATCCCTATGGAGCACAGTTCCATTCTGACACACACAGGGTTGCCATGAGTTAGAATTGACTCAATGGCAAAAAAACCAACCAACTGGTGGTCATTATTCTGCAGTCACTCTGCAATCCAACTACTCCTCCCTCTGACTTCTCTCAGTGGTTCTTTCACTCTGCCATCAATAGCACTTGTACCTCTCAAGGCACTTTTCACATTTTACCTGATTATAAAGTGTGCATAATAACCAAAATTTCAGCAGTTCGAACTTACTCTCTGCTCAGTGGAAGAAAACACGTGGTGATCTGCTCCTGTAAAGATTACAGCCTAGGAAACCCTGTGGAGCAGTTCTCCTCTGTCGTTTAGGGTCGCTATGAGTCAGAATTGACTCGAGGATCCACAACAACTGTATTGTAAGCTTTTGAAGACAGGTATTTCACTACTATTCATCTTTGTACCCCATTCTTTGCTTATTACATGTTTACCAATGAATAAATGAAAGAATGATAACAATATTCCCCTCCATTGAGGCTTAAAACCCTGGCTTGTCATTGACAACTTCCCTTCCTTTTGCCCACATCCAGTAAGTTGCCAAGTCCTGCTAATTCTTCCTCTGCAGCGTTTCTCACATTCTTTTTCATTACAACTAACACTACCTTCAGCTTATTTCCTCACTCCTGAATCACTGAAATATTCTCCTAACCAGGTTTCTGGGCCACCAACTTGCCTTATATGAGTTCTGTGATCCATGGTCCCTATTCACAAATGGAAGGTGAAAAACAATAAGTGTTGGAGTTCAGAGGTGGGAGAGGAGGTCAGTATAAGTTGAGGTGGGGGGCAGGGTGTGGTTCAGGAACGCTTTGCCAAGGAGTTCTGGATTCACTTCCCTATATATCACTTGGGTCTCACACTCTTCAAACCCACAGCCTCTTCTGTCTCAGCTTATAACTAGGAAGGCTTTTCAGAATAGATGGGACTTAAGCCAGACTTTGAAAGATAGGATTCAAGTAGGTGAAGGGGAGGTGGGAGATGTGTTAGGAATAGAGTGAAAAGAGGTTGTGGCGGGTAGACTTGGATTGGCCCATTATTATTAGTTGCTGTGGGATTATCCAGACCAACCAAACCCACTGCTGTCGAGTCAGTTCTGACTCAACAATCCTATAGGACAGAGTAGAATTGCCCCATAGGTTTCCAAGTTTGTAAATCTTGACAGAAGCAGACTGCCACATCTTTCTTACCCAGAGCAGCTAGAGGGTTTGAACCGCCAACTGTTAACAGTGGAGCGCTTTAACCACTGCACCACCAAGTTTCCTACTGTGGGACTATAACAAACCAAACCCATTGCCATCGAGTTGATTCCGACTCATAGCTACCCTACAGAACAGAGTAGAACTGCCTCATAGAGTTTCCAAGGATCGGCTGGTGGATTCAAACTGCTGACCTTTTGGTTAGCAGCCAAACTCTTAACCACTGCACCACTAGGATTATGACTAAAAACAAAAACAAAAACAAAAAACACTGTCATCAAGTCAATTCCAACTCATAGCGACCCTATAAGACAGAGTAGAACTGCCCCTACTGGGTTTCCAAGGAGCAGCTGATGGATTTTAACTGCCGACCTTTTGGTTAACAGCTGAGCTCTTAATCACTGCACCACCAGGACTATGTTGTTGTTAGGTGCTGTCGAGTCAGTTCTGACTCATAGCGAACCTATGAGACAGAGTTCTACTGTCCCATAGTGTTTCCAAGGAATGGCTGGTGAATTTGAACTGCCAACCTTTTGGTTAGCAGCTGAGCTCTTAACCACTACCAGGACTAGACCTCCTACCAGCACTATGTTGTGTTGTTGTTAGGTGCCGTTGAGTCGGTTCCAACTCATAGCGACCCTATGTACAACAGAATGAAACACTGCCCAGTCCTGCGCCATCCTCACAATTGTTGTTATGCTTGAGCCCATTGTTGCAGCCACTGTGTCAATCCATCTTGTTGAGGGTCTTCCTCTTTTTTGCTGACCCTCTACTTTACCAAGCATGATGTCTTTCTCCAGGGACTGATCCCTCCTGATAACATGTCCAAAGTATGTGAGATGCAGTCTTGCCATCCTTGCTTCTAAGGAGCATTCTGGTTGTACTTCTTCAAGGACAGATTTGTTCATTCTTTTGGCAGTCCGTGGAATATTCAATATTCTTTGCAAACATCACAGTTCAAAGGCGTCAATTCTTCTGTTTTCCTTATTCATCGTCCAACTTTTGCATGCATATGAGGTGACTGAAAACACCATGGCTTGGGTCAGGCGCACCTTAGTCTTCATGGTGACATCTTTGCTTTTTAACACTTTAAAGAAGTCTTTTCAGCAGATTTGCCTACCAGGACTATAGTGAGACTTAAATGCCAGCCTAGGGTGGGGGAGTTGGTTTGGATTTGATCTTGCAACCCTTTAAAGGTTTCTTAGCAGAGGAAAAACAAGATTCAAGTGGTACCTTAGAAAGACATGCCAGTGTGGAAGAGAAATTAGAGGGAGAGAGACTGGAGGGTGGCCAATTAGGAGGCCATTATACTTTCTAGATCTGACTTGACAATGGCCTGAGATGGGGAGGGAGTCAGCAATCCATCCTTACATAAAGAGTCTAAAATTTAGTCTTCAGAAAGGTCTTTAGCAAGAGGAGACATTCTTATCTCTTCATTAAGTGTCACATGTGGTCCCACCCAAAAGAAGCATGCTCTCCTGGTTTCCCCAAGTCTTCCTATGACATGTTTATACTCGTCCTTAGTACTGAGTCCCCAGGAAACTATGATGCCATAGCCCCACCATCACGATGTCTGAATGGCCCAGGCTTTTTCTTTTGTTATGTGGGTCTGGTTCTTTGAATAAACCCATTCTCACAGCATCCCCTTGAGCTGAAATTTTTACTAAAATATACTCCATATAACTTCACCAGCCTGAGACCAGAACTAGATGGTGCCCAGCTACCACAATGACCACCCTGACAGGGAACACAACAGAGAGTCCCTGATGGAGCAGGAGAAAAGTTGGGTGCAGAACTCAAATTCTAGTAAAAAAGACCAGACTTAATGGTTTAATTGAGACTGGAGGGACCCTGGAAGACGTGGCCCCCAGGCTCTCCATTAGCCCAAAACTAAAACCATTCCCAAGGCCAACTCTTCAGACAAAGATTAAACTGGACTATGGGACAGAAAATGATACTCTTAAAGAGTGTGCTTCTTAGCTCAAGTAGATTCATGAGGTTAAATGAGCAGCTTTCATCTGGAGGTGAGATGAGAGGGCAGAGAGGGTCGGGAGCTGGTTGAATGGACACGGGAAATCCGGGGTGGAAAGGAAGAGTGTGTTGTCACAGTATAGGGAGAGCAAGTAGGGTCACAAAACAATGTATGTGTAAATTTTTGTATGAGAGACTAACTTGAATTGTAAACTTTCACTTAAAGCAAAACTATATATATATATATATATATATATATATATATATATATATATATATATATATACTCCATATGTGTTAAAAGTAGTTACAGCCTGTCACTCTGCCCCAGTCTACCTCAATTTTCTGAAGGGCCACCTGTCAGGATCCACCAACCCTAACCCTGGCATCTCAAGTGTCCTGGTTAGTCTTCTGCCCTGGGACTACAAACCAGCTGTCTTACAATTGTGAAGTACTGGGCAGAAGGAGAACTAGGGCCATCGGATCCTTTCAGCTACATCTGCAGGATTTGAACACAAGTCAGAGAAGCTATCTTGCCAAAGAACTATCAGGAATGCCATCTTTGTATGCAGATGGAAGGACAGATTCTCCCCCAAAGCAGAGAAGAAAGAGAGTTCCAGGTTCTAGTTTCCCTTCACCCTCGCCCCTCAGTAACCTACTTTTCTGGAAGATATTTGAGCCTCTTTCCCTTTCCCTCCCATTGAAGGCTCTCTTGCTCTTTTCTCTTTTGTTCTTGTCTCAGTCCATTTCTCTTCCCCAATCTTGATCTTGAGTTGAAAGTGTGAGCTGAGCCTCAGAGTTCCCTGGTCCCATACCTCTGAAAAGAGTCCCCAGCATCAAGGTGTTTTGCCTTCATGGGTCCACAGCGCTCTGTTCTGATATCTGAATGCTGAGTGGCCTTTACCTCCTCCTAGGCTCAGCGCTCTCTCAGGGCAGGGGCAGTGCCTTGTTTGTCTTTGTTGCCCAATGCCCTGCACAGGAAAAGCAGGAGGAACCCAGCTCTCCTCCTTCCACTCGTGTCCATTCTTCTTTGCAATCACCCCAGCTCCTACCTTACTTCAGGTAGCTGGAGGATGACAGACAGGTGACTCCCTGGGTGACTCTCAGATGTGTCATGAGCAGCAGAAGGTGAAGGTTTGATTGATGGGGCAGCGTCTTCCCAATGTTGGAGACTCCACTGGCCTCATCCTGCCTCTCCTCAGCAGCCCTCTGAAGAGGAGGGGCTGCTCCATCAGCCAGTCACAAAGTCTGATATGGGGCTAGAGGGAAGTGAAGCGTCAGGCCATATGCCTTCCTCACTGGTTCTGGCTGCAGATCAGCTTCTTCCTAGCGTCCCTCTTCCCCCACCTGACCCTGGCCCACAAATTTCTGTCCTGCTCCTTCCAACCTTCATTCTGCTCCAGGGATGGCTCTGCAGGATGTGTGCAGCTGGCAGGCTCCTAACACCCAAGGACCATCACCTCACCTGCCTCAGGCTGGTGGCTGGGCCGTGCCACAGGGCTGCGATCCTCAAACCTTCCTACAGATCCATGGCCCCAAGCTGGCCCATGGCACCACCACCCTGGCCTTCCGCTTCTGTCATGGAGTCATTGCTGCGGCTGACACACGCTCCTCCTGTAGCAACTACGTGGCTTGTCCAGCCTCACGCAAAGTCATTCCTGTGCACCAGCACCTCCTGGGCACTACCTCTGGCACCTCCGCCGACTGCGTCACATGGTACCGGGTGCTACAGCGGGAGCTGCGGCTGCGGGCACTGAGAGAGGGTCAACTGCCCAGTGTGGCCAGTGCTGCCAAACTCTTGTCAGCCATGATGTCCCGCTACCGGGGGCTGGATCTATGTGTGGCCACTGCCCTGTGTGGTTGGGACCGCTCAGGCCCTGCTCTCTTCTATGTCTACAGCGATGGCACTCGCCTGCAGGGGGACGTCTTCTCCGTGGGCTCTGGATCTCCCTATGCCTATGGTGTGCTAGACCAAGGCTACCGCTATGACATGACCACCCAGGAAGCCTATGCTCTGGCTCGCCGTGCAGTGGCCCATGCCACCCGCCGTGATGCCTATTCAGGGGGTTCTGTGGACCTTTTCCATGTGCAGGAGAGTGGATGGGAGTACGTGTCTCATGACGATGTCTGTGTGCTGTATGCGGAGCTGTGGGAGCCCCGGAAGGCGGAGGAGGAGGCCAGCGAGGCCCCACCCTGAGCCTGCCACTCTCCGCAGAGCTGGGCCAGGTAGAGAACTCTCTGTGTAGGCCACAGGAGGCAGCACCAGGAGACTCCAGGATGCCAGCAGAGACGGAGAGGCTGTGAGAAGTGGCAGGACTTGGGGGAGCGCTGCCTAGGCCCAGGGAGTGGGTGGGAGGATGGCTCTGCAGGGGGAGGGCCCCGCTATGCGCAGCATCACTGCATCTGGCTCAGCCCTTTGTAGATTGTTGGCTTTGTTTGTTCCAAGTCTACATCCCTTTCTGCCTCTCGAAGCTATTGATGACTTTGTCTAACACCTTTCTATTGATGCCCAATAGATGAGTCCAGTCTTCTTCCCAGCATCAAGTCCTTTTTTCAGTAAACACTTAGTTCGTGCCTACTGCATGCTAGACACTGTGCTAGGTGCTAGACCCTCTTTTCTTGTCATTCTTTCTTCTGCTTTTTTTCCATCCCGTCCTCAGGCTCTCTTCTTTCCTTCTGCTTTGGTCCTCCGCCTCAGTTTCAAAGTCTTTGTCCTTGATGAGGTGGGGTTGCAGATGCAGTGTGGGAGGGTCAGCTGCCCAGTGTGGCCAGTGCTGCCAAACTCTTGTCAGCCATGATGTCCCACTACTGGGGGCTGGATCTATGTGTGACTGTCTCAGAGTCAGGTAGGAATGGTGGCCCAGAAAAGCACAAGATCCAGGCTGGGAAGGGCAGGGGGCAGTTCAGGGATGGACACCCCTTGGGTGGGGGTGGGCTTCTTCTCACATCTGCTCTCCTCCCTGTCCCCCTTCCCCATCAAAACTATAATGACTATAATGATTACTCCTTTGCTGACTTCAGTTCTCCTGATAACCCTCTGAGGTAAAATTATTATCCTCACTTTACAGATGAGGAAACAGGTTCACAGGGTTATGAGACTTGTCCAGGGGCACACAGTAGGTAGCAGAGATGAGGCTTGAATCCAGGCCTTCCCCTCCAGAGCCTGTGCTCTTTCTGCACAGCTCTTCCTCCCAGCCCTACAGGCTTCCGAGGGTGATGTGGAGGGAGAGGGTAGCTGCACCAGGCTGCTGCCCCATGGCCAGGGATGGAGGAGCCCAGAGGAGCCTGAGGGCCTGGAGGGGTGAGTTCAGGGAAGCTGCTCCCATCAGCCTCCTCTGGCTCCCTGTAGCCCCACCCTTGCTCTGTAGCCTTTCAGGCCTGTCATTGCCCACTGCTGCTGCCTGACTTCCCCTCCTCCCCCCTCCCTGCCCCCCTTTCTTCCCTTTGCTTCCTTCTGGCCTTTCCTTCCTGCAGCTCCCTCTGGGGAATGAAGGAGAGAAGGAGGTGGCAGTGCCAGTGGGGAACTGTCAGATTAGCACATCCTCTCCTGCCCTCTCCCACCCCTACTCCTCTCCCTGTAGACCCTCACTTGGAGATCCAAGCTGACATCTCCAAGAGGGACAGCCCCACTCCTGGGCCAAGCAGGAGGGAAAGCACGGTTGGACCTAGGAGTGGGCCTGACCAGGACTCCGGGCAGGTTACTGAACTTTCTTTCCCCTCATTCCACCCCTTAAACTTCAGTCCCAAAAATAACAGCAACATTTTCTCCCTCCTGGACACCCTTCCTCAGCCTCCAGCCAGAGCCTTAACCCCACACCTCAGGCTGAGAATTCCTCTCGGCAGGAACTGGTCAGAAGGGTGGAGGAGACCTCCCACCTCTGGCCCTAAGGGGAGGAGGGAGGGAAGGTCAGGGAGCCCCAGGAAGGAAAGCAGGGAGAGCAAATCAGGCAGGAAATAGTGGTGGAAAGGGGGTGCTGAGGAAGATGCCTGGTACACTGGAGGACTAGCCTTCAAGCCAGGGCCAAGGAATCTGGCCCGTGGCCTCCTTGCCTACTACCCAGTCTCAGGAGAGGGGGTGCAGGACTCTGGGGATAATTATGGAGGTCAGGGCCCCCTGTAACAGCCTAGTCCTGGAGGAGCAATGAGGGAGGGTAGCTTTCCCACATGGTTTAAGTGTTGGATTGACTCAGGCATATGAGGGTGCATATTCACATCTACAGAGGTGTGTGGGTCCTGCGTCCAGGTGTGAGTGAGTGATACAGGCGCAGTTGCAGGATGGCTGCTGCGTGCCGTGAGTGCGCAGGTGATGGATGTGCGGTTCCTTGTGCAGAGGCACTGGAAACAGACTGGAAGAGAGAGAGCAACACATGAATGTGGAGGGTGGCCCCTTATCCCACCGGGGAGAATGCCAGGCCATGCCACTTCTTTTGGGAAAATGCTCCAAGGTGAAGGGGAGGTGGGGGCAGGGCTCCCCCCACCAGTTCACCACTTCCCCATCTCCTAACCCTAGTCTGAGCCCCTTTCACTTCCCTGCCCCTCTTCACTCCCTTTGACACATTCTGTCCTTTCTGATGATGAGGTATTTGAGGCCAGAGATAAACCCAAGGGCCTTGCTGACAGGCCTGTTTCCCTATACCTATTTCCCCCCCTAAGTTTTTAGTGAGTTGGTAGATGACCTCAGGAGGATGTTAGGGAGGGCTGGGAAAGCAGACAAAGGCTCGCATCCCCCTCCCATGCACCCCACACCACCTAAGAGTGCTCCTGGCCCATAGGGTCAGTTCTTCCTTTTCTTCTGTTATTCCTGAAGGTCTGATGTAGATATCAGGGTGAGCTCAAAGGGGCAGAGATCTTGCCTTTCCTACCCTGAACTGAGTGATCTTGCCCCCTCTGATGCCCTGCTTGGGGTGCCACCTCCTAACACTCTCTCAACTGCTGCAGGGGAGAGATAGTCTGCTCTTGGGCTGTCAGGAGCCCAGGGGTCCAGCCTCCAGCAGAGTAAAATGTCATTTCCAGCACTGGGTCAAGGGTCCTGTTCTCCCACCACCTGGTGATACTAACTAAGCAGGTGCTGAAGATGTGAGAGAAGGCATATCTCCATTGAAGTAGTTTTCCCTCATTCCCCAGCACCCCATTCTTAGAGGGCCTGACCTACCTCTTCTTGTCTCCAGAAACCCTGCTGGAGTTGAGAGGCCTAGGTTCTTATTCTGGCTCCTGGATGGATCCCTTCTCTGCTCCGGGAGTGGGTATTAGGAGGACCTGGCAGTTCCCTTTCAGCCCCCACCCCAACTGAACATATGCCCCTGAATGGCCCGGCCCCCTGGTCCCTCTCTCTCTGCCTTTGTGCCCCGTGAAGAGTAAGACCATGGACTCGGGAAGAATTAAAGGTGGTGGCACCTAGATTCAACATGACTCACCCTGGCCCACTCTCTCCCCAGGAGAGGCTGCCTGGGCCCCTTCTCTTTGCCACAACCTCAAATTTCTCTGTAGTCTGTAATTTTATTCTTTCCTCCTGTCTTTTCAGTAGCTCTCACCTTTATTTCTCCTTCTCATCTGCCCCCTTTGGCCAATTCCCACATTTTAATTTTCCAGGAGTTTAAGACCAACAGGGACCCTGAAAATTGGTCATGGTAGGTGAGGCAGAGCCATTTTCTCCTTACTCCCCCTATGAAATGAACTCAAATCTTCCTCTATCTAGGGGGATGTGAAGTGGATCCCCGACACCAACCCCAAGGAGAAAGGACAATGAGCCAGGAGGCTTAGGCATCTCCTCCCATCCGTCGACACAATGAAGCTCTGTACAGAAACCCGAGGGCAGAAACAGAAGCAGGACTCCAGCTTTACAAAATAAAGTGTTCATTATGAAGTTAGAGATGGAGGCCCCTCCCCTTCCTCCCTCTTTCCCCTTCCCCAGCTGCCTCCCCCTTTTCCTTCTCTTCCTTCCCCCTGCGGCCTGGGAAGCACACAAGACAATGCCCAGAGCTGGGATGCCCAGGGCAGGCTGACAGCTGGGCAGAGCTCCAGGGAGGCGGCCACATCGGGGCTGGAGCTCTCGCCCTGGGAGGCAGCTGGCTCCGACTCTCTCATTGCTGGAGGCCAGTGGAGACAGGATGAGGCCATGAGTGATGGATGGAACCATGTGGGCAGGTCTGTAAAGACAGCAGAGGCGGGGGGGT